CGTATGGAGTTTCCATCCAGTGACCCCGGACATAAGGGCTCCCGTCCCACCTGATTCGACTGAGTGAGGTGTCGATATCCCTGAAATAGATGTACTCGTACAAGGCACGGTGGCTGTAAATCTCATTGACAATGTTCTCTCGTACGAGTTATCACATCTCCTTGTCCCCATAAATGTAGCTGGCGATGACCTGAAATTCGCAATTTCCATCTGCCTTAACATTCAAGTAGCTCACTACGCAGTCCAACATATGACAGGGAATACTTGGCCAGTAATCAAAACCAAATATATCTGTTTTTGTACCCTCTGGAACATCATAATAATTTCACGTCACAATTTATATAATATAATTTTTATTAACACTTTAATTGACGTTCAGTTATATAATAAAAAATAATAAGTCACCTTGTGGTGCCTCTTGTGACGGTTGAGAAGAATGTCTGCTTGTTGGTCAACGCGAAGAAGTCCTTGTACGGCCCATCGGACGACCTCGCGAATTATCCCTGTACTTCCATCGCGATTCTTTTCGCTTACTTGAATCGGTTTTCTTGGGACGACCTCGCGTATTTTCCTTAACCTCAGGTTCTGCATAAGCTTGTTGGTCCGGGTAAAGGTGACCGTACATGAGGTGATTAATGTACCACATCGTCGCAGGATCGCTCGTTTCAACCTCTTTGACAAGCGTCCGAAAAAAATCATCATCTATCCATCCACCCTGGTTATCCTGGCTTTGGTGATCTGTCCCTACAAGTATACGATATAAATATTTAAAGAATTAAACAACGTAATGTACTTTAATTTGTAATTAAAAATTAATCATAAAGTAGAAAATTGTAAATGAAAAATTAAACTTGAGTTACCTGGCTTATCAATCTTCTGCCACACTGTATCGAGCACGCCGGTAGACTTGTGAAGCCACATGAAGTTGTGTTGCAAAAATGTGTCACCTGGTTAGTCCAAGCTTTCACAAACTTCTCCTTGTGGACTAACCATGTCTTCTCGACATATTGTACCACTAGTGAGTCTTTTCCGTATTTTTATTCAGTTGAGCTACGGCAGCGTCGTACTCATCCGACGTACTGACATCCACAATCGACTTCCGACCGCGCAAGAAACTCTGAGATAATTTTTTATTTTTTCCAAACAGCTTGTAGACTTTGTCTTCGACATCCTTGTTGATGTGCCACGTGCAGAGTAAGTGGGCAGATTGAGGAAAGTTCCTCCTAATAGGAGTCACTAAGCCCAACTCTCTGTCAGTGACAACCGCATTAGGATGTACCTGAGCAGCAGCATATCCAAAAATATTAATGAGACAGGGCAAAAATTGTTGAAGTTTTTTTACCATATTGCACAAAGTACTTTTATTAGTAATTAACTAAATCGTGTAATCCATATAAATATTTTATCCTTACCTAAAGTCTATCAGAAGTCTCAACTTGTGGAGAACCCAGTCATGACTAGCCTCTTTCTCGTCCTTGATGGATGCATACGCAATTACGAAGTTCTTGTTGCACGACGTCATGCCAATCATCTCGACCAACGGCTCCTGTACCTGTGCAAATGAGACCAAAAGACAAAAATATAATCACATAAAACTTAATCGAATATACTAATTAAATTCATAATAATAATGTATTTACAAATTAAAATACCTGTTGGTTTTGTACGTGGAATCTACGTCGACATACCAGTAATATGTCTGGAATAAACTCACTGAATCAAGATGGGCCATTAATATGTGTGTCAGCACATTTGTATCTGAATCGACATCTGTATAAACTATGTAGTTGCTGCTGCAGGCCAAATGTAGAAGCTGGGTAGTAACATCTCTGCCCTCGAAACTTTCTTTGCACAACTTCTCTCTATAGTTATATATATGTCGCCGATTAGCGTGGTCTCCTGGATTTTTTTCCTGGACATCGGCCAAAATATTTGCTGGTCTCGCGTGCATATCAGTCATATCACGAATAATATTTTTTGATGACTGGCTGATGCCGCTCGACTGCCGATAGCCGATACACAACAAATGAATGATTGTGGAAGCCCTTCTTTTCATCTTGACACGTGTGGATCATCTAGTATGTTATTCCGGGCACCCGCTTTACTTTTATTTCAAAAGGGCAATGGCACGCTTTCATTTTCGTACGTCTAGAAGCAACATCTACGTTTTTGCCTCTATAACGTTCGCCTCGTTTGCACTTCAAGATCTTCAACCTTCATCCTTTTGTGTATTTCGAAATAATCAAATCGAAACCTGCCAGAAGTGTCGTACTTTTTGCATCATTAATCGTGGCCTCATCACTAGTAAACAATGTAGTTGTATCGAAAGTGAAACTGTAATCAATACTTTATCCTCCAAAATCCTCCAATGACACCTCCAATATATTACAATATTTACAATTTTAAAGCATGTTAAATTATAATCTATAACATAACAATTTCTAAATCCTAACGCGATAATATCTAACGTCCACCTTATTACATAATAATATCTAACTCCTAACACAATAATTATCTAACGTCCAACTTACAACATAATAATTTCTAATTCCTAACGCGATAGTATCTAACGTCGAATTTATAACATAATTATTTCCAATCTACAACATACTAATTTCTAACTACTAACGCGATAATATCTAACGTACACTTTAGAGGATAATCAAGTCTAATATATATATAACATAATTATTTCTAACTCCTAACATGATAATATTGAAAGTGCTGAAGATTGGCAGTAAATCGATGAACCTTCTGATGTTCACAGAGACCAGATATTTACGGAAGTATTTAAGGGAAGTTTATTTTTGGTATGAATAAGTCTTAAGTTTAATTAAGTCCAAAGGACTGATTATTTATGTTTTATTATGGCAGGACCTTGGGCTTGAGGGGGAGATACGCTTTCCATAATCTAAAAAGAAGGAGAATCGCAAGATTCACCTTCCATAATTGAAGAAGGAGAATCGCGAGATTATCATTCCTTATATGCGTTTGTCTTGGATGAAAAGATTTTCCAAAAAGGATGCTGAAGATAAAAGGAGGACGAGACCAGAGTTGAGGATGACTTTTGATATCTTTTTTTTGTTGGTTATTTTCTTTCGTGAGTAGAAAGAGTGATATTTAGAACATTTTGTAAAAAGAACATTCGGAGGTTCGTTCTTATAGTTTGAGGGATTCGAACTAGAAAATCCACAAGGGAGTTGTGGTCGGATAAGTAGTTGTGTGAATCATCATTCAAGTAGAGTGTAGAGGGAGTCTATACTGTAAACCCTTGGATGATGTATGAGTTGTTCACATTAATGAAAGAGATCTGAAGGGATAGTGGGACGCTCTCCTGAAGATTTAATTTTCAGTGAAAAACTGCTTCCGCAATTGTTTGAATCTTCATTACAGTCTGTCTATTCACTTTACGTGCAACTCTGGATACTTGGTGTTCAAGTATCAAACTTCAATTGGCACCAGAGCTGGTTTTCGTCTTCATTACGAAAGATCCTAGAACGTGTGTTACCCTCAAATCATGAATCAAAAAAGCGGATCGATGTCCAGGCCTCCGCAATTGGACGGTTCGAACTAATCGTATTGGAAGTCTATGATGACAATCTTTCAGAGATCGCTTGGAAAAGGCGTGTGGGAAAGTGTTGAAAATGGCTGGGAGCATCCAGTCATGCAACAAGCACCTGATCAAGGTAAAGAAACAACGAAAGTCACGGTATCTAAACCTAAGGACAACTGGATAGATGCTGAGAAGCTTCAAGAAGAAGCCAACTATCGTGCCTTGTATGCGATTGTGATGGCAGTTGATCAGACAAGACACAAGACGATAGTTCATTGCAAACTGCAAAAGATGCTTTGAGGGTCTTAAAACGTCAATTTGAAGGTTCAACGGCTGTCAAAGCGTCCAGACTTCAACGGGTAACTCTTGAATTTTATGAGATCAAATGAGGGATGAAGAGACAATTGATGTATACTATGCCAGATTCTGTGATCTGGTAAATCAAACCATGATGCTTGGAGAAGAAATCTCTGAAAAACGTCAAGTACAAAAGATTATGAGAACCGTCGTTCCAAGGTTTAGAGAGAAAATCACAGCTCTTGAAAGTTTCCAAAGAGCGGCCTCATTGGATGTTGATGAACTTCTTGGAAAGCTCAGAACTTTTGAAATCAACAACAGTTATGACAAAGTTAAAAGTAAAGGCTTACCTCTCAAAGCTACTGTAGTCGAGGAAAGAGAAGAAAGCGATGATGATGAAGGTATGTTGGCAGATGATAGTGAGCTGAAGGAAGCACTAGCTTTAATCGCGCAAAACTATGGGAAGATGAGTCATAGGCTATATAAGAACAAATTTGCTGGAAAAAAGGGGAACAGTTTTAGCAAGAATGTGGTGCAGGACAAGAAAAGTAGTATGCCACTCTCAAAATCCGATTCACAACGAGTCGAGAAGGATCAATGCAGGGAGTGTCGAGGCTTTGGACACTTCCAGTATGAGTGTGCTAATCTTAAGAAGAAGAATAAGTCACCGAAGGCAACCTGGGAAGATTTAGATGAAGAGGGCACAGACGAACCTTCGTTGCACACAAGCATCCTGGCAGTTCATACCTCAGTCAAGAAGTTCATGTGTCTCGCCAGTTCTTATGCTCCGACCAAGTTTGAAGAAAGTTTGAAAGAAACTGAAGCATCTGAGGATGAATCAGATCAAATTGTGTGTGTAGATCCAGTTCACTTGCTTGCTATGGAGAAGTGCGCTCAAGCATCTGAAGCTCTACAGAAGCTTCAAAATGAAGTGTTTAGACTTTCGAGAGCAAATAGAGTGCTGAACGAACAAGCATCTGCCTCCACTGCTACTAAAGAGTGTGAACTAGATACTGCTAAGGCACGAACTTGCATCCTTGAGAGCAGTGTCAAACTTGCTAAACAAGACGGACTGGAGAAGGCTCAGACCATTGAATGCTTGAGGAATGAACTATTCTCTACTCAGAAACTTCTTGCCCAACGGAACCAGGAAATTGTACTACTGAAAAATGAAGCTGATCGGATGTTGAACGAACATGCTAGCATGGAAAGCAAACTGAAGGCAAACTTTGCTGAGTTGAACCGAACTGCAGAAGTTGTTCGAAAACTGAACAAGGGAAAAGCAGACCTGAATGAACTACTTTCCTTGGGAAGACAACATGGAGATCTAACTGGAATAGGGTACACTGGTAGGGAAGACATTCCTGAGACCTCAACTGGAGCTTCAAATGTAAAACATACCTGTCTTGGATTTGGTGACAAACCTGGAGTTAGAGGCTTGAACCTCCATGGGAGACCTTCCAGAAACGTGTTTGATAGGTTTGTAAAAAGCACTGAAAGTAAACCTCCATCTCCATAATCTCCCTTGAAGGTTCATTCTCCCAAGCAGAAATCTGTTTTTAAAACTCACCATAACTTTTTTCCTATCTGTCATTACTGTGGTGTAACTGGTCACATAAGACCCAAATGCTATAAAATACAGCATGACCTTTGTACAGGAAATGTTAGGGGTTGGAATCAGTCTGGGATTCCAGTGAAGGTTCATTCCAGGACCCTCTCAAATAACCGTACAAAAAATCATCAAGTGTGGGTTGCTAAGAAATCCTTCAATTGTTTTGCCTCTGTTCTGTCCCTCAGGAACTCTCTGAAAGGTATGTGGTATTTGGACAGCGGCTGCTCTAGACACATGACTGGTGAACCTTCTTACTTGATGAACATTCAACCCAGTTCAAATGGGGAAGTCACATTTGGTGATGGAGTGAGCAATAAGGTTATTGGAACTGGCTGTTTAAATTTGGGTGGAATACCTAAACTAATTGATGTGTTACTTGTTGATAAGCTAAAGGCAAATCTGTTGAGTGTGAGTCAACTCTGTGATCAAGGCCTTAGTTTCAGTTTCTCTTGTGACAAGTGTTATGTGAAAGACAGTGAAGGTTCTTGTGTACTTACAAGTTCTCGTTCAACAGATAACTGTTATCTTGTTGACGTTAATGAAAAATGCCTTTTCTCAAATGTGAGCGAACCTAAAATATGGCATCAACGCCTAGGACATATTGGATACTCTCACCTTGTCAAATTGACCAATGCAGGTGTAGTCAGGGGTGTTCCAAAGATTGCTATGAAGGACCAGCCAATTTGTGAACCTTGTCAACTAGGTAAGCAAACGAGGACATCCCACAAGTCACTGAACCATATTGTGTCTAAACAGATCCTAGAGCTTCTTCAGATGGATCTCATGGGTCCCATTCAGGTAGAAAGCTATCTAGGTAAAAAGTATATTTTTGTGTGTGTTGATGATTTCTCTCGATATACTTGGGTTGATTTCTTGCGTGAAAAGTCTGACACATTCTCTGCCTTTAAGTCACTTTGTTTGAAGGTTCAAACTGAGAAAGGTTTACCCATAATAAGTATTCGAAGCGGTCATGGAAGAGAGTATGAAAACTCTGAGTTTGCTGAATTTTGTGATTCTCTGGGTATTAGTCACGAGTTCTCGGCTCCTAAAACTCCTCAGCAAAATGGAGTTGTTGAAAGGAAGAATCGCACTCTACAAGAAATGGCCAGAGTCATGTTGAACTCCAAAAACATTTCTTCCAGATGGTGGGCTGAGGCAATCAATACAACATGCTACCTAGTGAATCGTGTGTACCTTCGTCGAGGTATTGGTCATCATATGAACTCTGGAAAGGTAAGAGCCCTAACCTCAGTCACCTGCATATTTTCGGGTGTAAGTGTTTTATCTATAATGATCGTGTCCAACTTGGAAAATTCGATGCAAAATCAGATATTGGATTCTTTCTTGGTTACTCTAACAATAGTCGAGCGTATCGTGTTTACAACACATGTACCTCCACTGTGATTGAGTCAATAAATGTAATCTTTGATGAAAAGAATTCTCAAGTTAGTTCTTCTGTATCCTTTGATTAGTTTTAAAATATTGAGGCATTGCAGGATACTCAGGGTCTTAAGAGTTCTACAGACAAGGAGACAGCTGATCCTTCTGTTGAGATGCTGAGACATCAACTGACTACACTGTCCCTGCAACTCAAGAAGGTTCTGTGTCACTTAGGCGTGATCCTCCCTTAAGGGTTCAAAAAGATCATCCATCCGAGCAAGTCATTGGTGACATAAACGAGAGAGTGACCAGAAACTCAAAGACGTCAGTCAAAGAACTTATGGGTGTCTCTCATTATGCCTGCTACACCTCACTCCTTGAACCCAAGAATGCTAAGGAGGCTCTGAAAGACGAGTGTTGGATCTTAGCCATGCAGGAGGAACTGGAGCAATTCGCTAGAAACAATGTCTGCGAGCTAGTCCCTGAACCTTCCTTGGGAAATGTTATCGGAGCCAAGTGGATCTTCAAGAACAAAACTGTTGAGTTCGGGAATATGACACGGAACAAGGCGAGACTAGTAGCTCAAGGCTACACTCAGACTCAAGGGATTGATTTTGATAAAACCTTCGCCCCCGTTGCTAGACTTGAATAGCCTGAAGGGTTCAAAGATCCCAAGAATCCGAATCATGTCTACAGGCTTAAGAAAGCATTGTACGGATTAAAACAAGCTCCTCGTGCGTGGTATGAACGTCTTACCATGTACCTTCTGGAAAAGAGACTCAAGAGAGCAGCAGTAGATCCGACATTCTTTGCTCTTTGAACGATTGAGGACCTATTGGCTGTACAAATCTATGTCGACGACATCATCTTTGGATCAACATCCAAGAAGCTGGTCAATCACTTTGTGAAACTTATGTCGTCTGAATTCGAGATGAGTCTCGTCGGTGAACTTTCGTACTTTCTTGGACTTCAGGTAAAGCAAGGTAAAGATGGTACTTTCTTGCATCAGGGCAAGTATGCAACAAACCTTGTTAAAAAGTTTGGTCTTGAAAACGCTAAATGTCCTCAAACTCCCATGAGCACTCATGTAAAAGTGTCCAAAGATGATGAAGGTTCATCTGTTGATCAAACTCTATACAGAAGTATGATTGGTAGTCTTTTATATCTCACTGCCAGTAGACCTGACATTTGCTTTAGTGTTGGATTGTGTGCCAGGTATCAGGCTGCCCCCAAGGAATCGCATATGAAAGCAGTCAAGCACATCATAAAGTACATTGGAGGTACAACAGAGTATGGTATATTCTACTCTGCTGATACGAACTTATATCTTGCAGGTTATTGTGATGCTGACTGGGCTGGAAATCTTGATGATCGAAAAAGCACCTCTGGTGGGTGTTTTTACATAGGATCAAACTTGGTATCTTGGTTCTGCAAGAAACAAAACTGCATCTCCCTTTCTATTGCTGAAGCCGAGTACATTGCCGCTGGAAGCTGCTGCTTTCAGTTGGTATGGATAAAACAGATTCTATCTGAGTATGGTATTAACATTCATTCGGCTCAACTTTTCTGTGACAACACTAGTGCTATAAACATTTCGAAAAATCTTGTCCAACATTCTCGTACCAAGAATATTGACATTCGTTATCATTTTATTCGTAATTTGGTAGAAGATGGGGTTATTATGTTAGATCATGTACCTACAGATGATCAGCTTGCTAATATTTTCACTAAAGCTCTTGATTCGAAACGATTTTTGTCCTTGAGAAAATCTTTAGGAATGTGTGCTATATGATTTATGTGCATTGTGTCAGTTGCATTTATATATATATATTTCGTGTCTATTGCATATAGGATCGTTTCTTTTTTTTTTTAGGCATCTTAGCATGTAGGTTCATCCCTAGAATTCTTCTCTGATCGTTTATTTTTAAGTTTGTTGATTGGTGGTCTGCGAATTCTAACTGGTTAGTTTGTAAGAGCTCGTCATGATGACATCTTAATATACTTGTAAGAGCTGCTCTCGTGAAAATAGGCATCGGGCAACTATCACATGAGGTGCTTCCTTGATCACCTGTGAAACGAGTTACGTGTCTAATAATAATCGAGGTGTGATAGCTACAGGTAAACATTCTAAGAATGAACATTCTCTATTAAAATAAGGTCGGCCATCCTGATATCTTCTCAGCTTGTTCAAAATTATAACTTTTTGCGGGATGATTCACACCTCAAGTAATGGGCTTGACATTGGCGTATAGTTGATGTTAGTAAGTGAATTGGTGTGGAAGTTCATAGAACGGAGTAAGTTCATCATAAGTATTGGGGCTGAATTGCGAACGAAAATTTTATTTTTTTGCTAAGAGAAAGTGATGAACGAACTTATATTAATTCCGTGTTGTATAAAAGTGGGAGCAATAAGGGTTGAGTTGTGTACGAAGAGAAATTATTTTCTCATCACCTTGTTAGTGTCGAGCTCGCCTCAAATTGATTTGGAAAGATTTGTGGGTCTATCAATTAATGAATCTTTTCAATATTGTGTGAAAAGAAAATTTTAGGGTATTGCGTGTTATGTATCTATTTTAGGCATGTGCATCCAGTTTTTCTCATGGCATCTATTATTTCGATCTTGAGCCTAAAATTATTTTTGGTACATGATTTGGCTGATATTTTTGTCTGAAACTTCCTGCGTTATATATGGTAACTGTGTTGATTAACTTGGTAAGTAATTTGTTTGGAGGGAATGGTTTTTTTGTCATGCGCGGTGTTGGTCAAAATTTTGAATTTCAAATATTATGAGTCGAACCGTCTCATAACCGACCTTGGTAACTGTGATTTAAGTTCCTTATATCATTCATACCTCCTTATATCATCCATACCTCCTTACTTCTCTCTCATATCAATCATAATCTCTGATTTGTTTCTCCTTCTAAAAACTTTCTAACATTCCTTCTTCAAGAGAATCTCTATTTCTCGACAATGCCTAAATCCAAACAGGGCACTGTGAAACCTAAGAAGAATGTTCCTCCGCCATCTCGGCATTCAACTCATCAAACTCAGAGTTCCAATACTCCACCAGATCCATATCCTTCAACTATGGAAACCGAGAACACACAACCTCCCGTCAAATCCGCAACTAAGGTTTCTCCAAGACCTAAAAAAATCCTCAATGACTAAAGCTTCTCAACCTGAAGTCGCCGAACCCAATGACAAAGGAGGAAAAAGTTCTCCGTCTGTCGTCAAATCTCCAAAGAAACGCAAGAAGGTCGTCGAAATAGTCGCACTCAAAACCAAAAAGGCGAAGAAGGTCGTTCATGTGCCTGAACCTACTGCTGGTTCTCCTTCTCACACAAAATCTAGAGGAGAGTCATCTCCATATTCTGATGCTGATTTTGTTGAGCATGAGGTTACGAACTATGT